GATGGAAACTGAGAAAGAAACACGATTGGCATTTGCTAAAAAAGATCAACATGAAACCTTAGTCGTTATTGAAGGTTATCAATAAATAATATATACTGTTATTCTTATTACCGATAAGTTTCATTTATTTTTACGAACCATATTTTTCAGATAATGAAATTACAAAACATGCTCCCTCAACTCCTAAAAAAAGGACTTTAAAATCTCTTGCAGGAACTCCTACAAAGAAAAGAAAAGTATGTTGAATAAAGGCAAAAATTTCGATGATAAAAAAATTTTTAATTTTTACCATTTTTATTTGGATATTTTCTTTTCTATTGTTGCTGTGTATTTCATATCAAAACTTTACAAATGTGAATTTTGTTTTAGATAAGCCCTCCAGTAGAGCTAGTAGTTCCAATTAAACCATCATCTGTACTGCTACCGGAACCAGTACCCGAACCTGTACCTATATGTGAATTAGTACCTGAAGTACAAGAAATTCTTCCTGATCTGTTAACTGTAGAATTAACCAAAGTAACAAAGCATAAGAAAAGAAAATTTTTCGATACACAAACTAAATTAAGCGATATTGCAATGCGAAAATATATCAGCAATGTTAGAGCTCATACATTAGTAAGTTAATAAACTAATCATTTTTAAGGGAACAATAAATAAATTTAATTAAACAAATTAAAAACTATATCAAATAATTTAATCATTAATTGAACGTACGATTGGAGCTTGTACCATATGTTAATAAAATTTTCATTTTTTAGGAACAATATTTGTTTGCATCTACTTTACCATCAGCACAGGAATATCTAACACGACCTTCAACCAAAATATTGAATACGTTATGGGGAGAAACATTAACTAAACGTTTTAAGCAATATCTTCTCAAACCTATTGTTGTTCAAGATGAACTTCAATATGTACCAGACTTTGAAGTGAGAGAAACAATAGGTATTTTTGTTGATAAGCAAGAAATCGAATTATAAATAAACAAATGAACAAATTTATATACAGAATTGTTATCGAATTATAACGACAAATAATTAATATATTTTCCATAAATATATATAAAAATATGTCACATTTTCATGTTTGCAATTTTAATTTTGCAGCCGGAGACACTGTGCGCGCAGATAGTTTGAGTAAATTACGAGATCAAACAGCTGAATTATCAAGTAAAATTGTAATTACTACAACTGAAACTACTGATCCATCTAGAACGTTAGAAAAGACACTTATAACAGAAGATTATCGAGATAAAGAACGTGGAGAGCTAAGAAAAGAAACAAAAGAATTTGAAGAATCTGTAGTTGAGCTTCCAGACATTAGTAGTTTTGAAGAAAAAATTGGGTATAAGCTTAATGTTTGATTCATT